TTTCATTCTATCTGTGCCTCCTTATTAATGCTCGATTCTGTTGGTGTCACAGGTCTCGGCCAATTATGGCCATAGCATTCTGTGTTTTGAACTGCAGAGACTGACTGTAAATATGTTTTAGAGGGGACATTTCTTTTATCGCAATTACCCTGTGGTGTTTTTTAATCATGGTACAAAAACTCATATGCTTTGTCTAAATCTCTGAAAATAAAATTTCATGCCAAAAAATATATTTTTACTGAACCAAATGAGAACAAGTATGCCTATCTTTAAAAAAAAAAGGAAATAAATATATTTCAGACATTTGTTTATGTATTCTAATTACAGTTGCCAGATATCAGCATAATTGTCTGTAAATATGCTGACCGAAAGCTACCAGTGCCCACTATCACACCGCCTCACCAACAAATGTCTATCATGCGCTGGCATTACAAGAGGCACACACGAACAATTTGGGTGACAGGAATATTTGCCATGGCCATACAGGTGCTTGCCACAAGTGGGATCCTGTCCTTGTGCTGCAGCAAACTAGGTGTGTGTGTGTGTGAGGACATCTCTATGTGGTTCAAATCTTGTTTTCAATGTGCCAGTTAACCCTATGACCATGTGCTTGTACTTGGAAGTGAATATATTGAGTAAGGATTTAAAATATTGAATACTGGAGAATAAACTGACTGTAGCTGAGCTCAAGGTGCAGCATCAATCAGCAACTAATGAATTGATCAACTCATACCCCGCTGAAAATATAAGTTCGTGCCATCAAGCAGATACCATAAACTGAATGAACAGCAATAGTAGTCTTTTTAACAACACCCAATATACCTACATATCTAATAATTACACATTAGTTTTCTAGCCATGCTACTTCTCGTATAGCTTGATGTCTTGTACATCATTTATATTTTCATATTTTACCATCATTTTTATTTAAATGTCCCCTGACAATGTTTTGTACATCATTTAGAGGTTCATATTTTACCTGCATTTCTATTTCAATGTCCTTTGACAATGTTGTACAGATCATTTATATGTTCAAATGTTACCATCATTCTCATTTTGATTTAATGTGCAATCTGCCTCACTGTTATACATTTTTGTTTTGTGTGAATCTTGCCATTTTTAAACAGACCTATCTTTCTCTACATTTCTTATCTCCGTACTAAAATTGTATTTCTTGATTTGTCAAATATGGCTTACTCTTTTCAATTTATCTGGATATGTACATTTTCTACATAAATATTCCTGCTGTTTAATTGTCTGCTGATACAAACTTTGGTTGAAATATCTTCATCTCTACAGGTGCTTTTTATTATGCAGAGTTTTGAATCATATTTTGTATTAATGATATGGTCAACTCATATCTGATAGGAAGAAAAATAATGAGGCTTGTTGCAATTCAAAGTGATGGTCAATGCAGCAGGTGTTAAGGTGTCCATGTCTCTGTGCTAGAGTGGACGAGCCGACAAGATTGCCTACCTATATGATACATTGCCGATGGCTATGTCTGACCAGTGCTGGCCAATGGCAAATATCCCTGTACACCATTATATAGGAAAGACTTTGGGCTGTGAAAAAATCCAGATCTCATGGTTTCATTGGATGAGCTAGCTAATCATACAAAACTGGATGCTGATTCATGATCTGTGTACAGGCTGAAGTGTGAAGTACATTTGGATTCTGGAGATGAGAGAGCAGACGTGTGAAACAAGCTGCATTCGGGGTGATATGGAGGAAATCAAATATTTCCTGGCATGTGCCGCTGACAAATAAAAAAAAAAAGATATGCCAATCAAAAAACAAAAACAAGAGGTAACCCCCCAAAAAAAGATGTCGGATGACATGGAAGAATGCAGAGATGCTTTGCACTGATAATATATATGCAGCAGAATAATAAATACACTACTCTCTAGGATGATACCCAAATACTCACAATGGTTAGTCATTACTACCTGATTAAGTTATTCTCTGATGGCATTTTTCAGTCTTACTGGGCTGAAGGGTGCATGGAAATCACAGCCCTTGATGATGGCGAATGACAAAGCAAGACCCGCTTGTGTTAAGAAAAGTCTTCCACAGTTAGAGGACAATATTTCAAGACCAAAAAAGTATTCTAAGAAGGAAAAAGACCATCATCACTGAATAACATGGTAACAATATCCATTCTTTCTGTCGATCTTGTTTTTTTTTTTTTTAATGTCTGAAATTTTTCTCAGTTTTCTCACCCAAGTTACAAACAGAAATTAAACCCATACACACACCACAAGTACTGTATACAAGAAAAGAATTACACTTCTGCGCACCAAAACCTGTACGACTGCAGCCTGGATACCGTCAAGCGCTGTTACATGTTCTAAAGGTTTCGGGTTCATTTTGTCTTTAGTAGCTGGTAGAGTCCGGCACCTCTCTCTAGAAGATTAACTACAACAACCAAAGGACTAGCTGGTTACGTGGCTACAGAAACTGAAGGAGGAAGGGAAACAGGTGGCTAAACTACAACATATTTATATAACAAAATGCAAACTGCATGATATAAACACCTTCCCTGCATGATGTTTCACAGTAGCACATTCATCGAGACTGCTCAGACCTCAAAGGAAAGACAATTTTCTGTTAAATATTAATAAATGTGTGATTAAAGAGCATGTGGGATATACAAAATATCATGTGGGGATGGAAGGAAAGCACTGTGACAAAAAGCTACAAGATTCTTAGACAGAAGCTGCTCTGATGATGTAGTAGGCATTACAGATGACAATCACTGCATGAAATCAAGGGGTTGCCCTTCTTACAGCAGTGGTAACATCAATGGTTTGGGTTCACTATTTTTAAATGTTGGATTCATTGATACAAGCTGTCTGCTGTTTGGAAATATTTATTACAAGGTTGGGCAATTTATTTTTTACAGCAACCATTTGATATAACCGATGTTATGTTTGTAAGTTTGTACCACTTTTTAGGATGGTTTAGAACAGGGCGATGATCCTAAGTCTGAAGATCTACGCATCCAGCATGGCTGCGAACTGTGTGAGTTAGGATTTCATGACTGGCTAAATTTAACACACACAAAACAGCTGACTGTATCAGTGTTTTTCACAGCACTCTAGGAGTGTAAACACAGGCAGCTCTGAAAAAGCACTGGCACTTAGGGATGCTAACTAATAACTTGGAAACAAGGTATAGGAAGGAGTGGGTGTGGCTGATTTTTAATTAGCTCATGACTGGAAAGGGTACAGTGAGCAGTATGCCTGTTGTACAACGAAGACTTGGTCAATTATTAGCTGGGCTAATACAAGAAAAGATAGAGAGGAGTGTGCATGTTGTACAACGAAGACAAGGTCAATTATTAGCTGGGCTAATACAAGATAAGATAGAGAGGGAGTGTGCATGTTGTACAACGAAGACAAGGTCAATTATTAGCTGGGCTAATACAAGAAAAGATAGAGAGGAGTGTGCATGTTGTACAACGAAGACAAGGTCAATTATTAGCTGGGCTAATACCAAGATAAGATAGAGAGGAGTGTGCATGTTGTACAACGAAGACTAGGTCAATTATTAGCTGGGCTTTGCCCTAGTTATTTACATTTACTGAAATGTCGGGCAGAAAAATGAAGGCAACTGAAAATAAATATAGGAACTCAACTGTTCCAACCATTGCAGTATTTCATTGCAAATGACAATAATCTGAACATATTTGTGGCTCTAAATTAAGTAACCTTCTAGTAAATATTTTAACTTTTTAGATGACTTATGAATAAAAAATCTGGCCACCAGTAATTTTGAATTGCCATAGAAGCAGCACAACCTGCGTCTGAGAACATTTAGATTCAGCACCGAGCTCCTTTTACTCGGCACCAATGGGTAGTAATTTCACAAACCTGGAGGCAGCAAAGACAAAACCCTTCCATAAATGACAATCGAATTTGACCGATGAGGCAAGTGAGTGCACTATCTACTACACCATCAAAACTAGTCTGAGGTGTGACAAGAAAACTATACGGACAACAGAGAGAGGGTTAAACAATGAACATTGTACGGCTAACAATGACACATGAAGAAAACTGAACCACTAGCAAGCAAAGAAACGTCATAATGCATAGTATAGTTAAAACAAAAACAACATTGATAAAGAAGAATTTGTCAGAATGCTTTCCATAATTACAACAATGTAGAATGGTTTTATCACAATTAGTTCTTGATAATCAGCTGAAAACATTGGTTAAAATGTTTTAAAACAATGGTGATGGATGGGTTTAAACCGAGCAGCGACCGCCGGTGGGGGATCATCCTTTGAATTCTATATCTGATGCAAATAAAGGCTGATGAGAATGACAGATGGACGAAGGTGATGAAGGTGAAAGCTGAATGGATGAACAGCAATGGCAGCTAACTACGACTGGCCTGCCACACTACAACCAGTGCTGTCAAAACACAACACCAGAAACATGTGGGAGTATTCGAAGACAAGAAAATAAATGTACTTAAAAAACAAAACAATCCATATTACGAAATTCACAGCCCTTTAGTTTCCTAGGAGACCAGTACCAAATAAAACTAACACTATAACCTCAATGTGATTCATTACGTGGAGGAAATGGGATGAGACGTGAAATGGTTTGTGAAATATGTGAAACACATATACTAGGGTTTTTAGCTGTAAAAACTCCACAAAACTCAACAATATGAAGAAATAAAGTGAAGTTTTAAAAAATTGACCCAGAATACGAAATGCTACAAACAGCAATTACAGAAGACACAACTGTAAATGACTGCACTAAATATAGGAATTTGAAGGATGAAATTTGATAACAAAACTTAAACGCCAAAAAAAAAAAAAAACGTCTCTTCAAAAGAAGACATGAAGGAAAAAGTGAAGTTGGAAAGAAGTAGTTTCCCAATTATCACTAAAAATGTTTACGATAAAAGAATGTAGCAATGTATAATGATGATCAGTGATCTACTCGCTTGAAATGAGCGTAGGAGGTGAGTAATGACTAAAGAACTTAACGAGCTGTTGCCTGTCGAGCACGTTTGTACTCTTCTTGCTGAATGCGCTGCTGGATCATGTACTGCGCCCGCGTGATTCCACTCACTGTGCCAGTGATACTGACGACCCGGTTGTGAGTTCCCGGAGCATACACACCTTTCTTGGAGATCTGAATGTTGGTGCCAGTAAACGTCTGGATCTCCACGATGCCTTTGCCTCCAGGCCCGAGGATGGCACCAACTATATTTTCTGGGACCTCCATCTCCTGTTTGGTGGCCGTCTTGTCGTCCGAGGGGCTGTACATGCCAGTGCCCAGACCAAAGGAGTTTTGGTTCACGTTGACAGTTACTGCCCCTGGGGACCTATCCTGGGATGGGTAGGAGACAGCACCAGCTGATGCAGCATATCCTGACTGGGCAAAGGCATCGGTGAGCATCTGACTGGAACCATACCTGTCTGCAACCCCTGCCATGCTTTGGGAGTTGCTTCCAAACAAACCAGACTGCTGGGCAGAGCTGGTACTTCCAACAGGTCCAAACATGTTAGCCCCTTGGGATGTAGCAGAGCCAAATGGTGTGTTTCCAGCTGCTCCGCCAGTGGCACCTGCCATCTGCATTCCTTGCATGCCAGCAAGACCAGCGGCTGTCATGTTACCCCCCATCTGGTTCATCCCACCCATTCCCATACCTAAGATACCATAATTAGCTAGCGTGTTCATAGCTGTACTGATCTCTTCAGTAGCCTGCTCTGTGTAACCAGCATTGCGAAGAGTCATCTTCAGATTTTCCAAAGCTTGATTTGCCATGGGACCCCCAAGACCCATGGCGGCGGCGCTCAAGGACATATTCAGTCCAGCCAATCCCCCCATACCATTGTAGGAGTTGTTGCCATTGGTACCGAAATTAAAGCCTTGACTTTGATAAGCAGCTGCAGTGTTATTCATCATATCAGTGCTGCGAGCTTGATACGGGGTGTTTGCGAAAGGTGATCCTGTGGGATTGGCCGAGGCCACAGGCCCAGTGTAATCAGCATAACTTATATTTGGACAGCTACTACTCTGTGGATCCTCCACAATCTTCTGCAGGATCAAGTCCATGGCTTTCATGTTGGCATCAATTTCACCTGAGAAAAAAGTGGGATCAAAGATATGTAGAGATAACAATTTCATATACACCACAAGCAGACAATAAAATTGGGAAAGTGATAAATCCATGTCATAGGCAAACAGCTAAACCACCTTTCCACAACAATCCCTCAGTAAGAAGGAAGGAATGAAGGAGGAAGGAGCAGAGAGAGGGGAATGGAGAAATATGTGGAAGTGTGGGAAAGCATGTGTAAGAATCGGAATGGAAAAGATGATTTGGGTGTGACAAAAAGAAAATAAATAACCAGAGAATGAAAAAAAAGGGGGACGAGGGATGGAAACCCAGTTGACAGAAAGAGTGGGCGAGAAGCAGCTGAGAGAATGGGAGCGAGGAAAGACTATGTAAAATGTAGCTGAGAAAAAAAGAGAGTGAGAGGCAGCTGAGAGAAAGAGTGACTGTGGCAGCTGAAAGTATGTGAGAGACAGCTAACAGAAAGACTGAGAGGCAGCCGAGAGAAAGTATGTGAGGCAGCTGAAAGAATGAGTGGATGAGAGGCAGCTGAGAGAAAGGGTATGTGAAGAGGCTGAGAGAAATGGTATGTGAAGTAGCTGAGAGAAAGGGTATGTGAGGCAGCTGAGAGAAAGAGTATGTGAGGCAAGCTGAGAGAAAGGGTATGTGAAGTAGCTGAGAGAAAGGGTATGTGAGGCAGCTGAGAGAAATGGTATGTGAAGTAGCTGAGAGAAAGGGTATGTGAGGCAGCTGAGAGAAATGGTATGTGAGGCAGCCAAGAAAAGAGTGGGTGAGAGGCAGCTGAGAGAAAGAGTGGGTGAGAGGCAGCCAAGAAAAAAGTGGGTGAGAGGCAGCTGAGAGAAAAGAGTGGTTGAGAGACAGCTGAGAGACAGTATGTGAGGCAGCTGGGAGAAAGTATATGAGGCAGCTGGGAGAAAGTATGTGAGGCAGCTGGGAGAAAGTATGTGAGACAGCTGGGAGAAAGTATGTGAGGCAGCTGGGAGAAAGTATGTGAGGCAGCTGGGAAAAAGTATGTGAGGCAGCTGGGAGAAAGTTAAGGCAGAAATAGCTGACATAAAGAGTATGAGAAATAGCTGACATAAAGGCAGCTCAAACTTTGTTTTCAAATGGTCACAAATTGGGCACGCAGGCCAATCTTACATTCAGCCCTTCCAAACAATCATTGACACAGCAACTGTATTTTATCAATAAATCATGTGATGTTCATATAACAATACACAAATTATGAATATAAACGAAAAAAAACCAAAAAAGCGTGTATTGCATGCACGCACACACGCACCTACTCACTCACTCCTTAATCATTTAAACACATACATATATATATGTACATACACACATAAATATACACACCCACCCTCCCCCTACCCCACTGAGAAAGAGTATGTGAGACAAGTGAAAGAGTGGGTGAGAGGCAGGGTGAGAGGCAGCTAAGTGAAAGTGTGGGTGAGAGGCGACTGACAGAAAAAGTGGGTGAGGAGCCAGTAAGTGATCAGCTGTAGTTTAAACACACTATTTTGTAAGATAACAAATTAACAATGCAATCTTATTTGTTAAAATTGTTTTGGTTTTTTTTAAAAACAAAAACAATCTATACTTATTAAATAAAACCACAAGACAATGTCTGAAATTAACTTCCTCAAGTGCCTTGCGACTTGTAAAAAGACCCCTTTCTAGTGCTACACCTATCTTCCACAGGGATATCTTCTAGTTTTGCGAAAACATTCATTCTAAAGTTTTGGTGTATTTATGTGCAGAACACAGGTTGATTGCCTCTCAGGCAGATGCACTCTTGACTTTGAAGGAAACCCCCACGTAGTTGACTCTTATGACATGCTTGTTAGAGAAGCAGTGAGGTTGTTCCACCCCCCCCCCCCCCCCGGAGACCCTGGAACCCACATGGTGAGTTGCAGATTCAAACCTATGAGCAGCTCTCAATATATTATCGCTGTTCCATACAAAATCGATACAAATGCACATGTTTACAACTGACCTGCCACTGTAATACATCTCTCTGGAAGATTGGCCTCTTTAGATTTTTGCGAAATTTGCACATAAGCCCCACTTTCCTCCTTGATTTGTTTGATGTAACTGCCACCTTTTCCTATAATCATCCCGGCTGTGCTGTTGGGTATTAACACTTTCACCTGTAGCGTAAAGAGCGGAGTTCAGAAGTCAGCAATTATGGCAATGGTTATAAAACATGGCTTCTCTACATAAAAGCATGCACGGAATTCATTCACCTATCATGACAGTCACAGGACTCGTGTCTCATACCTGCAGAGAAAGTTCAAATGGCAGGAAGGCCCCCCAAATGCTACAAGAGTTGAGGATGAGTGCTTAGATTTGGTTTAACTCTTGTTAGCCCAGAAGACTGAGCAGTTCACTGCTCCAACCCCAAGAAAACTACAGCAAGCCAAACAGTGTGTGTGGGGGAGGGGAGGGGGGGGGAAGGTTGTTATACGCGAGTGACTGTTACTGCTGAAGTAGCCAGATTTCTGTAGTATGCACAAACTAAGCACAGAATGTAAAATTACGCGACATGCGGGGAAGTGTATCTATACATGAGGTGTTACGTGGAACTGACAGAGTTAACAGCATCTGAAGAGTTTAACGAATAACAACCCCCCCCCCCCCCCCCCCCCCCCCCCCCCCCCCCCCCAGGTGGTGAAGGCATTTATACTGAAAACAAAAGTGTGAGATTCTTCTTTTTCTGCTGTAACTTGCTTAAAAGGGTGATTTGCACATAGTTTTGTGGTTTACCTTTGGAACAAAAGCTACAGGCATTTGAAAATACATGCCTGAAGAAAATGTTGAAGATAAAATAAGGTGCATTCAAGAGAAAAGTAAAGGGCCTTTTCCACAACTTCAGGCACACTGGGCAAGATCTATATTTTATAGACCAATCGGCAAACTGGTGGGTGATATGGTCAAGAGTGGTGAAAAGAAAAGGAGAAATGTCTCATCAGTTATGAAACAAAGATGACGGCCCTGTATTGGATACATCCTGAGAAGAAACGAGCAGAGAATCACCAAACAGGCTCTAAAATGGGAAATAAAAGAACTGAGGACATCCTCTAGAAACACTAAATGAGATGAGAGAGGCCAAAGCTGCTGGACCGAAATCCACCAACCGTGATATTAAAGAGACTACATAGAACAGAACAGCTGAACAAACTGTGAGCTCTGTGTGACATATGACACCACGGGACAATGATGACGATAGACAGCTGTGCCTTTCAGCTTAACACATCTGGTTACAGCAAATCCTTCACTGGTAGCCTTTTATGACATGCCTGTTAAGGGCAGGGGCTGAATTATTTACCCCCCCCCCCCCCCCCAAAAAAAAAAAAAACTTTACAACCCACACAGGGAGTCTGAAAGCTAGGTTCCAGACAGAACAGCCTAAAAGAATGAACCACTCTCCATCCACAAGCCACACATACAGACAAAGGACAAACACTCAAGACAGCACACTACACAATCGATACAACGATTAGTTGAGGAAAAAGTAACTATCATGCTTGCATGTTGGCTCAGTGTAATAGGTTTGATTCTCATGTCAGTGAATGCTTTTTAACGTGTAGGCAACCAGGTCAACCCGCTCTTAAAATAAGTTACTAGGAAATGATTTAATCCCTGAATGGCTTCCAGGGCCCCATTGTGGGGAAAACAAGAACAGACCCACTGCCTACCCAACTAGCATGTCGTAAGAGTCGACTAATTTGGTGCTTCCACCCAAAGTTGGAATGCATCAGCCTAAGAGGCAAGGAACCTGTAAAATGGATGTGAATGCAACACTTAGGTTCTGAAACAAGACTAAAGTCCAGAGGTGGATAACAATCCAAAACTTTTTTGGTCCAGAGGACAACAACCCGCGTCTTTTGTTTTAGATGGCAAATAAATTTTTTATATTCAAGGTTTCTTGTCAAAATGTCATAAATTAGTGAACGTGAAACTTCCGAAAATTCGACAGACAATGCAGAAATTGTGAAACAACGATTTTTGTTCACTTCTTTGACAAAATTGTCTGTCACCACACTCGGCGATTCACTATGATCTTTATCGTGGATATTTGTTCACCCTTCTTTAAACATTCGACACCATTTTCCTAACCATGCTTTCAGTCAAAACATCTGGTCCATTAGTCTCAAAGAGCTGCCTGTGAATTTCCACCGCACTGTTTTTTTTTTACCAACAAAAAATTATTCACAGCAGGGACCTTGCAGCTGGCGGACGCATTTATTTTTTCACTCATTATAAATCACTCACATGCAGCATCAAACAAGATTTCTACATTTTAAAAAAAAATAGCACACAGCTAGCTAATGAGCCACATAACCATGCCGCGTATACACATTTATGTTTTCCATCGGTGTTTGTCGTTGCGATCATAACGAGACTTACTTAAAAAAATTGCCTCATATTATACCAATGCATTCTTAACTCCCTCGGATATTAGATAGGACCTTGTGGGACTGAGTTAGTTTTCTGAATGATGGTACAGATATTGTGCCTGGCTGTAAACCACAACAAACAATGTGTCAACCACCCTTTTAAGAGCAAACCACACAAAAAAGGAAGAAATCTTGGAAATTTAGTATGCCCAGTATATATGTCTGACGTAGAGAGATCAAAGAATGCAAGGTTTGCCCAAAAAAAAGATTCAACACATTCTAAACACAATGATTCCGTGTCAAGCTTTTAACTAGAAAAGGCCATGCATTCAAGGCAGCATATTCAGCAATAATCATGTCAACAAATCAACTTTCTCCAATAGGAAGAAAGTCCTAACAATGTATCATGGCTACAAGCCTTACAGACAACTTCTACAAATGGACATACTGCTCTTAAAACCTGGCAAGTAGCAAGACTCATACAGAAACACATAATAGTTATGTAAAACAGTAGCTATAATTAACTCATTCAGTAAGTACCCCTCTTCTTTTTCTGCCTTTCTCACACCTCAGAGCCTACGCCATCAACCAACTCACGCCAAGTCGGTCTATCGTTCGCTGTCGCATGCAGCTCTTCCAGCGTTCTCCCCATCTTTTCAAATTCACCTCTCTAGCTCTCTTCTCTGTGTGGGTTTTTCCTCTGTAGCAAAGTTCTAACATTCCAAATGTCAATTCTGGAGGTTTTCCTAGGTGAAAGGAGGTATGTCAATGATCTGGACTCCTTCTGGCTTTCCCCACACAATGTCATACTTCTTCTACTAAAACAGTTTCTCTCATCTTGGGTGGCTGGGTTTTTCTTCTTTCACTTTTTGACTTTTCCCATGGTTGGTGGTTAGTTTTTGTGGCTCTTTTTTTTTCAGGATGAGGTAACCAACCCTAACATTCGTCGCCTCTTACAACTTGCCTGGTAGGGTGCAGTGTTACTATTCTTGGTTCTCTTGAGGGTCCCCAGGATTGGTGGAGCATTTCTGTTACACAGTAATAAGTCTCTGATATTTTAGTAGTACAGTCTTTTTCGTGGTCACCGGCTGTAAACTCCTGTTAAAACGTTCTGTCTGTCCGTGTCTCAGAACTTCAGTTGTGTGTGTGTGCGCACATACGTTTTTTCAGATCTGGTTTAATTATATGCAGACTGTTGATTCCTCGCTTCTAAGGTAGATGCTCTCCGACCCAGAATGGAAACACCCCTGATTAGTTGACTTTTACGACATGCATATTAGGGCACAGTAGGTCTACCGCCAAGGACCCAAACAGGGAAAGTTGCAAGTTGTAATTTTCCTCTTATAAAAAATTATCGCTGTCCAATGTTTATATCTTTTCTTCTGGTAATCATCCATGCCATTTGGTGGTGGTTGTTGCGTGAATCCTCAGCCTTCTATCTTGTGTATCTTCAATCATTTCTGACACAGATGATCTAACTGTCCAGCATCTTCTGTCTGTCTGTCTCCCTTGGCCCCTTTCACCTCTGACCTTCGCACCATCATAAAGTATTTGTTTTCTCATTCTTATGACATGACCAAAGAATCTAGACTGTCTCCCTGATGTAGGAAATCAGTTCTCTTCATCAGTTTATTTCTTTCAAGACATTTTTATTACATTTTTCATCTGCTCAAGGTGTTATCATCCATCCCTAAAACGACATCTCTGTCATTTCCACATAATTTTCACCAATCTGCTAAATGTCCATGATTCACATCCATATACCAGGACTGGAGCTATACAGCTGTTAAGAATTCGCTTCCTCACTTCAGCGCAATATTTGTCTTTAACTGGTACAACAAATGCCCGTCTTAACTACATGAAGACACCACTCAATCAATCAAGGCCACCTCCATAATAAGGATTACCGCAATGGCTCTCCAATACTTGTCTTGGCTGTACTCTCTCAGACTGCTGTTCGTCCACATCTTGATATTGTCCTCCCACTTATAATTGTGCCCACCTCTTGCTTCTCCCTCCTGTATAGCTTTTAGAAGAGTGTTAGGTCTTTTAGTGTGGCTGAAACATATCACCTGTCTTTTTTTCTAATTACTTTCAGCAATTCAAAGACAACATTAAACAAGCACTAACACTTAGTTGTCAGTAAACTAAAGTTGCAGTATGTCCACTACAGTTAAAACTAGAAAGGACAGATGATTTAAGATCAGCTTGCTTTTTGTTTGCATGACTTCCTATCTTAGATACACTTTAAACAATTTAGAGTTAATTATAAGATTAGTTAGTTAGTTATTCCTCTTGTGCCAAAGATGGCGCATAGGGCAGAGGTCATAGCTTTCCACGTCTGTCGGTTCTTTGCCACTTGATGTAGGTCTTGAGTGCGACTGAGACCTATTACAGAACTTAAAATGTGATATTCCGAGATTATAATTGTTATCACATTTCTATTCAGAAACATCAACTCTTTACTATCTGTGCATTTTTTTTAAAAAACAAATGTACAATTGTAGCACTTTTTTTTAGATCTGTTGGCATCGACCAAAAGGTTGATTGTTGTGAGGTGAAGGTCACTTGCCTGTAACGTCACTATGCAGTTTATGCAAGCCAGATTTTCTAAACAAACCAGGTGACAAAAAAATTCTACCGTGGACGCTTGCCAATCTGTCTCAAAATGTGAGAGACTAAAATGGTAACTACTCTGTCATTTCAAAAATCATTTATGAGAATTTTTTTTTTAAATTGATAACGACCTTAAGCTGATATTTAATCAGTCATGCAAACCAAAAACAGCAATACTAAGGGAGAATGGAATGAAAGGATGAAAATGGATCCTGAAATACCTCTATTACCTGCCGATGCCTTTCAAAATTATTTTTGGCATCATCAGGTTTTGTTGGTGTCGTGGGGATGGACTCCGGCTTTTCACGAATTTTCTCCATGATGAAATTGTTGACCTGCCTCACGGCATCTGGTGGACCCATGATTAGACACACTCGTTCTGTTGTGCCTGAAAACATGCAAGGCCGTTCGTTCTGATTTACTTTTGAAAATGTACTCCCAGAAATTATTAGAAAGAATGAAAGTTGTGTAGACATGCATTTAACCTGGCAATAATGGTCTGGACATGTGTCAAGACTAGCACCAGACACCAATGACCTCACCTGATGCATCTTCAAAATCCGGCACTGAAAAGTAGAACAAGACTAGAATAGAAGAAGAAAACCAGCAATTCAACTAGAGCGGTGGATATTTATATTTATGTTGAAAGGATTCAATTATCTGCTTCATCTGATGTAATTCTGCTACTGTAGTATGTACCTGTACAACATAATGGTGAAACAGACTGCGAGCCCTATGTGACACACAAGGATGACGCTGACAATGACGAGTATGCATCTGTCAAGATAATACAAAATATGACAGCCAATAAATTCTAAAAATTGTGTGTTTGTGTTGTCTCTGAACAAAAACTGTGTACACATAAGAGCTGAATGAGAGTTTGCCACAAAAGAGATCAAGAAGTCAGTGGAGAGATATACAGGTACACCTTCAAACACCTTGAGTCAGCATGTGGAGAGAGAAGGTCATTCACAGAGATGAATAGAGGTGGGTGACATCTGCAGGAATGAACAACATCTCGGAATGCTGAAGGAATTTTTCTGCTTCCTAAAAATTAAAGCGTACATAAGAATTAACATAAAGAACAACCAAAATAAATTCCTAAAATATCACATAAATTTATAAATGCCTGCACAGAACAAGGACTTAAATGATATAATCTATGGTGGAGTTTATGCAAATAACTAAGATTTCTATAAATAAAAGGGTGAAGGAAAAATATTATAAAGAGCTATAATTAAAACTGAAATATTCAATAAACTGTCTTTCACTGTCTATATTCACCAAGGCGGCACAGGTCAAAGGATGTCTTGAACCTGACAATGTAGGCCCCCATGGCTTGTGCAGTCACAATCAATTGCACGGGTTAGGATTTCTATTTTTGCCACACAACAGAATTTTAAAAGTTCTTTAGGATTCTTACCCGAATATCTCGTCAAATACAGCCCAACATCTGACTGCCCAGCCAGGTACTCCTTCTAGAAAATGTTATACGGACTGACCCATTATGGGGAAGACAAGAACAGACCTAAAAGCATGCTGTAAGAGTTGACTAATTGGAAGCTTTCATCGAAGCTGGAGTACATCTGCCTGAGTCGCAACGAACCATCAGTGTGGATTTTAAAAAAAAATCAGATCTGTCAAACAGATGTGCACGCAACACTCAGGTTCTGAAACACAACGTTCTGCTGGAGTTTACAGTCGGTGAATGCAAAGAAGAAGTATTCTACATCTCATTATTTAGACTTAATAGTGTAGATGTCTGAATGTGGAGGGGGAAACAGGAGTAAACTTACAGACCTCCATACCCCCTACCCCTCATCATAAGGGAAAGTCACAGCTCAGTACACAAACAGTCACCACACTAATCACACGGTGACATCATCACAATATCTCATTAGTTTTCACAAAACTGTTTGCCACCTGAGTCCTGGAAATGTAAGTCTGGTCAAGTCGCTGACAAAAGAGGCATGTTTGAAAAAATATATATTTAAAGTAGTGGTCCCTTTACACGCCAGTGGCACATTGGGTATATGATGCTAGATTCATTTTTTTAAATTGACAAATCTGCCTTCGATGGATGATGCGGTCAACATCATGTCGGCCGCCTTCACTTCCCATTTAAGGCTGGGTTGAGCTGGGACACAGGTCATTAATGAACAATTCTGGCTCTATGCAGATTTGAACCCACGACCTTCAGATCCACAGGCGAGTGCTTGGTAATTACACCACAGTGGCTCCCCAAAATATACATGAGCACACACAAAACTCACCTGGATAGAAATCATTTGCCTTGGACATCTTCACCCTGGCACCGGCTTCCTTCTGTATCTGGGCGATGGTTTCTCCCCCTTTGCCAATAATTGCCCCAGCAGCCACACTGGGCACCAAGATCTTCAAGTGAATACTGTCCCCTGATGGATGGAACAAACATGGGTCAGTAAATATGAAAACAATTTTGTCCCAAGGTTGTCTGTGGTCAAGCTGCTATATATACGGCTGGTCAGTGTTTACATTATTACTAAATGTTCATCACATATGTTGCCAAAACTTGCAATCAGCATAGGGGACAACAAAAGAATGAATTAATTCCTTCTGACAATGACCAGACAATCCTAGTACCAACTATAAGAACGCATTAACAGACTTCACTTATCATGCAACAACAATGATATGAATATCAACAGAGACAATATAGAAGTGATGACGTTCACCAGAAAAGGAAGAACCACCATCAACACAGATAAACCTAAGCTGAAGGACTTTACATATCTGGGGAGCATTTTTTCCCTCCAAGAAATGGAAGATTTAACAAACAAATACAATAAAGCTGCAATAAAGTTAAATGGCACAAATACTGAAATGCAAGCATGTGAATATGAACACTGAAAGAGCTCTGTTCAACAATATATTCTCACCAATGCTGTGTTATCAGTGTCAGACATGGACACTGTCTTCAGTTGAGTACCAAAAAAACAAAAGTCATGACAGAAATGAAAGGTTTACTAGTATGCTAGCTGGGTGTAACAAAGAAAGATGAAGATAGAACTATGATGCCATACCAGGAGGAGATATCGGCAGACAACAGATCAAAGATAAAGTGTTTGTATGCTCTTTTATCTGAGTGACACACTGTTGGAGATCGCAGGTTGTGGAGAAGCATGACTGGTCTCACTAGTCAGCAAGACTTTTGACAATAATGATGCGTCTGACTGTCTAATGATCTTTCTATTGTCATTTTCAAGAAGAGAGACAGAAAGTGTTGAAGATCTGTTGCAGCCAGAGCTTGTTTGTTTCAACAAGAAAATGTACCAGCACTTAACAAGGGTTGAAAAAGGGTGCCAACACACTAGTGTTATTACAATGACCCTGAAATACATATGCATACAAGAAAAACGTGTTGGAAATTAATACCACGGCCTATCAGCTGGGGGAATAACCCTGGTTGCAGCCAACTTTCACTGTGGAGACGGCAATTGGCTGACTTCAAATCTTGCATGTTGTCTCTAACGTTGACCATACCAACCATTCAGCGCTAGGGCTATATGGGTACAACACCATTTACCTGATGTACCTCTGACCTTTAACTTGTTGTTTGTCTGAGTTATAAAGATATAAGAAATAAACGAAATAAAGCTGTATGCAAGCAGGATATCAATGATGCTGGTTTTGAGGTGCACTCGTGGGAACAAAATACCATGGTTGGTGTTGTGTGGAGGGCCCACATCAGTAAGGGAATGAGAATGAAGGAAGAAGTGATTGCAGAAAGGATGAAAGCTGGATGTCTGAGAAGGAACAGACTAAACACAAATGTTGACAACAATGGTCCTGAAAGCCAATGCTATATTTGTGGAAGACTTTTAACGCAGGGGGGGTCTTGCTAGTCACACTCGCGATCGCCTGTGACTACCATGCCTCCTCATAGCGCAGAATAACACTATGGTCCATGGTCCGCAGAATAACACTGTGGTTGCGATCTATGCCAATCCTCATGTCCTAGCCTCTTCAACCATACCTCCAAACCAGTGTTATCCACTTGGTAGTGTCTGGGTCCATTTCAAGAGGCCCATTTTCTATTTACCCACCCAACCGAAAAATAAATAGAAAATGTTAATTAATTATTATAACTTTTTTTCAGTTTGAGACAGACACAACTCAATTTGGACCAACCCCTTCAACCAAAACTACTAAATCCTGGACTAGCCCTGTTCGATGCTGGTGTGTTTAATATGACCCGTAAATTTAAAAAAAAAAAAAACAACTATTATCAGAGACGTCTTAGTGATAAATATAAGCCACTAAGAAAACCAGTGTTCCCTACTCGCAGGCCCCGGCAAGTGCCCAACGGGCGCATTTGTTAATACATAGCAAAGCTGTAATGTTCTTTATACAGCCCACACTGCAGCAACACAAATGAGACCTAGAAATACACATCAAGAAGAAGTAAGGATAAGTGGAAGAGATAAGCGAGTTGAGTGCTAGCATAGGGTATTATGGTTTGGAGAGTTGAGGGAGGGCCTATGTTCCAATGTCCAGTTCTGACGAATGACCGCCAATCAAGCTTATCCAAAGGCTGTTGTCTCACTGACTGCGTAGCGAATTTCCCTGGTGGGAGACTGATAAATTTATAGGAAGTTGCCAGAGCGATCCTTAAGGTTTTAATTGCAAGCTCATCACAACCAGGTCACCACACGCCAGTCCCTGCAGACACGACCACTCATTGATCAATCAATAATATCAATGATTCCCCGGTGACCTCCCCCGTGTTCTAGGTCATCGTGGATTACAGAGGTCATCGTGTGCAGCTAAAATGACGAACACGTCACTACAGCCAACACGCTTGTCAACGTCTGCCAGTGTGTACCTACGCGGCTGCACCTGGTACACAGAATTCCGTATCGCCGTGTGCTGTGACCTAGTCTCGCGTACTACCCACTTAGTGCCCTCGTCAGAGTGACAATGCGTGCTTTTAGGGGGATGCTGTATGATTGAGTCTACATACGACCGCTCTCACTGCACAATTTAAGAGAAATATCCAGCGCTCACTCATGCAGTGTATTTACATATACATATCGATGTGTGTATGTGTATGTGTGTATATATATATATATATATATATATATATATATATATATATATATATATATATATATATATATATATATATATATATATATATATATATATATATATATATATATGGAGGCGCCGTGGTGCAGCGACTGGACCCTTGCCTGAGGATCCGAACAGAGAGATACTTTTTTTTTAAACGACCTTGGCTCCTAGATCGACCCATCCTTAAATGAGAACAAGGTAAAGTTCTGGAGAATAAGGCGGTCGGTGTAATTTTGATCATATCAACTACTGAGTGCCGAATGGTCTATAAAATATATACAGAAATTATATGCCCAATACGCCTAGAGGCGCGGAGAAGGGTCCTTTACACACACACACACACAAACACAGATATTACATACATACACACACACACATACCACCTGTGAGATATAGACTTCGACCTGCAACAGGTCAATCTACACACAAAAACCAAGTCGGCGCATTAAAGCGGACCCAGACAAATGGTCAGTAGAGGGCTGCACTTCTGCGTTACTGTTTGTAATAATACTAATTCAGCAAGAAGGGGGGGGGGGGGAGTCGCAGAGGGTCTAGAAGCAAACGTTTTTCAACAGGTTGCATTATGCGTATGGACTTCTCTTCCTGTTTGTCCACACCCGGACTTTGTGTTTGGATCAGAACTTGAGTTAAAGGTCTAGCACATTTGTATGCAGACAGTTGGTTCCTTGCTTCTCAGGCCGATGCACTGACTCTGAAGGCAGCACTCCTAATCAGTCGCCTTTTACGACATGCTTGTTAATGGCAGAAATAGGTATATATTTTTATCTCTAACAGAAGCCCCGGGAACCCTCGCGCAGATCAAAGAGGATCCAACAACATCTCAGGCCATTTGATACACACTCAGCATCTATTTCTGGATCGATCTAAACACAACTTTGCTCTCACACATACACACACGTTAATCGCGTCCCTAGTTCGCACTAAGGCCGTTTAAAATGTTTCTGCTAAAGCTACTGACCATCCAATCAATGTTCATAGAGTCTTCCCTGTATATCGATCACAGATCGGCAGCTGTTGTCTTGGCTTGATGACCAACAATCTGGAGGATTACTGTCTCCCATTACCAAGGGTGTTTGAAGATTTTTGTAAAAACGACTGCTTTTCTAATTAAATTCATAAAAAAATTTTTTTAAGGCGTAGGGTATTGAAACTTTCGGAGACCCATTAGGAATGGTTACTAAACATGAAAACAAATATGTTATGCAAATATGTCACATGATCGTGGTGGCCATCTTGGATTAATTTGGCTTTTTATAGAAATTTCAGGAGATGTTTGAAAACCATCATCTTTTCCAGGTTTTAAGTGAATTTGTTCAACTTCAATGCAATAAAATGTTGGGGACATGGTTGGCAATGAATGAAATAAGCTTTGTATGAGAACTTTTTTAACGATAACTTTGCTGACCAACAATCCGAAGCATTACTATCTTCCATTACCAAGCGTGTTTTACGATTTGTTTTTTAAAACAACTGCTTTTCTAATAAAATTCATTAAAAAATTTTTAAAAGGCGTATGCTATTGAAACTTTTGAAGGCCCATTAGGAATGGTTGCAACACATAAAAACAAATTTGTTATGCAAATATGTCACATGATCATGGTGGCCATCTTGGATTTGTTTTTCTATTCATAGAAATTTCAGGAGATGTTTGAAAACCATAATCTTTTCAAAGTTTTAAGTGAATTTGTTCAACTTCAATGCAATAAAATGTTGGGGACATGGTTGGCAATGAATAAAATAAGCTTTGTATGAGTACTTTTTAAACGATAACTTTGCTGACCAACAATCCGAAGCATTACTATCTCCCATTACCAAGGGTGTTTTACGATGTTTTTTAAAACAACTGCTTTTCAAATTAAATTCATAAAAATTTTTTTTAAAGGTGTAGGGTATTGAAACTTTTGGAGGCCCATTAGGAATGGTTGCTACACACCAAAAAAAAAAAAAAGTTATGCAAATATGTCAAATGATCATGGCGGCCATCTTGGATTTGTTGGGCTATTTATAGAAATTTCAGGAGATATTTTAAAACCATCATCTTTTTTCACTTTTTAGTGAATTTGTTTAACTTCAATGCAATAAAATGTTGGGGACATGGTTGGCAATGAATAAAATTAGCTTTGTATGAGTACTTTTTAAATGATTAACCAGATATTTCAACATTAAAATGAAACAAAAATTGAATAAACTAAAAAAATTGTATGTTTTCTTTCTTGAGTGTATTGTGTTTATGTGGTATGTTACAATGAGGATTTGTGAATGTTTGATTACAAAAACACTTCTAACCTCTAGCTAAAGTCTGAGCTACTTCATTCATTCACTGAAGTTGAAGCTGTAGCTGTAGAACTCTGCAAGAGTCTTTGTCGGGAACGTTGATAATCCTCAACTGTATGGTATAGCTTGAAACAGGGTGTCAAGCATAGAGGTGTATTGCAATCTGGGCAGTACATGCAAGTCTGGCTCCTTTTACCTGCAGCCTTACACACTTTACAGTCTGGTTTGTACTTTGGCTTTTCATATTTTTCAATAAAATGGCGTTCGGTAAGTCGTGATGTTGTGACTTGTGGTCTAGAAGGTATTACGTTGTGCCGAAGAACAGCAGGTCCGATAAGAGCAAGACTGACATCCTGCCTGAACTTCTTAGCTGTTATCTTTTTTGTAGAGTTGACAGTGTTGTAGCTTATATGCCCATTGACAAGAGCAGTCTCAACTAAAAAATGATACAATGGCAGGTACCATTTATAGGATCTGTGTGGGTATGGGTAGTTTGCAGCAAGTTGGCCGAAGTGATCGACACCACCCATACTTTGGTTGTATTTTTCAGCCAGAACAGGCTTGTTGATAATTCTGCCCTCAGGAGCTCCCCTTTTTCTAACTGTCTTATCCATGACATCATTGGAGTGAACAGTAGAAATTAGGTTAACTCTCTTGGTATCGTGCCAGGTAACGGCCAACATGCTTTTATCTTCTGTTACACAAAACACAGGATTATCTGCTTTTTTCAGTTTTAGCTGCTTTTTCTTTAACATCTCAGGAAAATGCTTCCTTCTTTCAGACACTGTGCCACATGCACCAATCTGCATTTCTTTTAGCTCTTGAAATAAAGCTGGGCTTGAATAAAAACTGTCACAGTACAGAATATGACCTTTAAATTCGTATCCATCAAGAAGGCGTTTTACCAGTGTGGAAGTCGTCCCGACACAACCTTCATTATTTGCCTTACCAGTATAAATCTCTAGTTTTAAACAATACTGAGTTTTAGCATCGGTAAGCACAAATAACTTAAATCCCCACTTGGTAGGCTTCGCTGGCAGGTACTGCTGCTTGAAATATATTCTGCCTTTGAACCGCACCATTGATTCATCTATGGATAACTCACATCCAGGTGTGTAGTTTTCCCTGTATGTAGGCAATATGATGTCTAGTAGGGGCCTGAGTTTGAACAAGGGATCATACCCAGGCTGTCCTCTTTCATTTCTGACATCATTATTGTTGAAATGCAGATTTCTGTGAAGCAGCTGGTATCTGTTTCGACTCATGGCCCTCGAATATGCTGTTTCATTCAGCCAAAAATTCTTAGACCAGTAGTCTGAAACTGCTGGTTTACAGCACATTCCCATACCAATATGAAGGCCTATAAATGCAGAAATTTCAACTGCATCAGTGTTATCCCAAGTGAGTTTTTTGTACTTGGCACTTCCAGTGTACTGAGACAGGTGATTTTCACCATACCTGTTGACTTCACGTGTGATCAAATCTATGGCAGTGTCAGGGAAAAAAATTTTGAAAAAATTAATCGGCAAAAATCCAGTTGTGTCTGACATAACACCTTGTTGTTCTTGGTATGGAGGAAGATTGTCAATCTCAACAAGTTCATTTTCAGCAGCCTTTCTCCATTTCCAAACGACATTTTCAGCTGTAGAAATATTTTGGTCTCTTGTGCCACGCCCACTTCTATCAACAGAAGTGCCTACATCACCTGCCTCATCAATTCCATCATCGCTGTCGCTACTTTCAGTTGCGATATTGTCCACTGGTGCATCTCTACTAAGCCAGGAATCATCGCTTTCAGCACCACAATCACTTGCAGAGTCAGAATCGTCTCTGTTACAGGTCTGGGTTTCATCATCAGACATGATGAAAAGGCTGTATACGCACTTGACACAAAAATTAACAAAATTTCACTGAAAAAAACGCTTGTAATGACTCTAATCGATATGAATCGAAAGTTCGGCCATCTTGGAACAATTAGAATACCCGGATGCAGTTTAATTCAAAAACTATCGGTAGGGACGTCGGTCGGCAGACTACAAGTCGCTAATTCGACGATCGTCGAAGTTGGTCACCAGGGGATATGGCCGGAAATTCGTCGATCGTCGAAGTTGGTCAGCAAAGGATTAAGCTGTTGTACTAAGCAATTCTTGGATGCCGGGTTCGATCCCAGCTGCGGGCCTTGCGCTGGTTTCGACTGGTATCAAGAAAGTCGACCGTCTAAACTAAAAAGCAATGGCTATCTACTGGACGTAAATTTGCCTAGAAAAACCATCCAACAGCCAGGAGCTGTTGGTTCTGCAACGTCCTGTAAAGGATACATAACTAACCATTAGTTAGCTGTGGATCCTTTACAGGACTTGCAGAGTGGATCGTTTACAGGACTCGCAGAGTGGACCTTATCATTTTAAGCCGTTGTACTAAGCAATTCTACGTACTCTGATACTGTTTGTGAACGGCCGGCTCTCGATATCACTGTCAAAACCAGCGTAAAGTCGGTCTGCTGCAAAATTCTCCTGCATCTAGGATCGAACCCGGCACATGGGCATTACGAAGCGCGTTGGCAACGCCTATACAGCTCTCCAGTTGTGATGGTCCATGAACAACTCGCAGCCCTTAGAATCAGCAACAAGAAAGTGTCTGAGAGCCACTGAAGCCAAACCACCGCTGTGAAGACGTGACGTGACAAAGTCACCGGGTAAAATGCTGGGATCGAATGACTTAACAGGTAACCTCTTCTGCCTTCCGATTGTAAAAAAGGCGATTGGCATGCTGTGTTGTGATTTATAGCTGTGTCGCGATACCTGCGCCTTACACCCCAACACGTTCGATTTCAGCACACCCCTACTTAGTCACCTTTTACGAAATGCCCTTGGGGGGGGGGGGGCGCTTCCCAATTATCACCTGATTACCAAGGCCCAGGAACCCACATGGGGAAATTAACAGCAACAGGCTTGTTCAGGTAAGTTTTAAAAACTCAAACGGAATCGAGTACCAGCAGGACACGATGGACAGGATCAAATAGGTTACAATAAAAAGCGATTGGGACACAGGGATCTAACAGCAAAAGGCCCATCAGTGCTCGCGCAACCACAGGTTACATCTTGCAGACAGCGACAGACCTGGAAACCAGTGCGTGAGCACGCACAGCAGGCATGTTTCTCAATGGGAAGATCGCACTCAGGTTGGAAGCAAAGTGCCGCGGCTGTAGTGCCAGCCAGCCGAATGTTTGTTTCATTGGGGAAAGACGGGTTAGAGAAGGAGAGAGAGAGAAAAAGCACATAACACAGAATCGAGGGCAAAGACAACACACGCCGAGAGACCTCTGACAAGTGGCCGAATGAAGGTAGGTCAGTGAACGCAGCCTGCCACGTGAGACAATGCAGGATTGCGAAGGAACAGCGAGCAAAGCCTGCACGTTTTGTCTTTATTTATGACCCCGTTTGCACTGGTTCACTGTAGGGGGGAGAGTAAGTAATACAACAACATGGTCCTGTACCCAGTAAGTGGTAAAAGTAATACAACAACACATGTCCTGTACCCAGTAAGTGGTAAAAGTAATACAACAACACGTGTCCTGTACCCAGTAAGTGGTAAACGTAATACAACAACATGGTCCTGTACACAGTAAGTGGTAAAAGTAATACAACATGGTCCTGTACACAGTAAGTGGTAAACGTAATACAACATGGTCCTGTACACAGTAAGTGGTAAAAGTATTACAACATGGTCCTGTACACAGTAAGTGGTAAACTAATACAACAACATGGTCCTGTACACAGTAAGTGGTAAACTAATACAACAACATGGTCCTGTACACAGTAAGTGGTAAACTAATACAACAACATGGTCCTGTACACAGTAAGTGGTAAACGTAACACAAGGTCCTGTTCCTGTAGGTGGTAATGGTAGTACAACACAAGGTCCTGTACCTTGTAGGTGGTAAAGGTTATACAACACAAGGTCCTGTACCTTGTAGGTGGTAAAGGTTATACAACACAAGGTCCTGTACCTTGTAGGTGGTAAAGGTAATACAACACAAGGTCCTGTTCCTGTAGGTGGTAAAGGTAATACAACACAAGGTCCTGTACCTTGTAGGTGGTAAAGGTAATACAACACAAGGTCCTTACCTTGTAGGCGGTAAAGGTAATACAACACAAGGTCCTTACCTTGTAGGTGGTAAAGGTAATACAACACAAGGCCCTGTACCTTGTAGGTGGTAAAGGTAATACAACACAAGGTCCTGTACCTTGTAGGTGGTAAAGGTAATACAACACAAGGTCCTGTACCTTGTAGGTGGTAAAGGTAATACAACACAAGGTCCTGTACCTTGTAGGTGGTAAAGGTAATACAACACAAGGTCCTGTACCTTGTAGGCGGTAAAGGTAATACAACACAAAGTCCTTACCTTGTAGGCGGTAAAGGTAATACAACACAAGGTCCTTACCTTGTAGGTGGTAAAGGTAATACAACACAAGGTCCTGTACCTTGTAGGTGGTAAAGGTTATACAACACAAGGTCCTGTACCTTGTAGGTGGTAAAGGTAATACAACACAAGGTCCTTACCTTGTAAGCGGTAAAGGTAATGTAATGCGTCTCTTTTACCCAATAAATGACTAAAGTAGTATGGCAACTCTTTGTTGGGGATAGGACAGCACACGTCTAGGAACATGTCCCAAGTTCAGCGGTGTTCATTCCTGATCCATGCAGTCATTACCTTTCCTGCTATTTCAGTGTCACTAAAGCAGTGGCTCTCAACCTTCCTAATGCCGCCACCCTTTAAAAGAGTTCCCTCATGTTGTGGCAACACCCAAACAATTATTTTCTTTCATAACTTTAATGAATATGTTTTCCGATGGTCTTAGACGACCCCTATGAAAGGGTCGTTCAACCCCAAAAAAGGGATGCGAGTGGCAGGTTGAGAACCGCTGCACTAAAGGTTCCCCAGCAACTGCTGAGATAGAGCAGTCGTAAAATTTGGTGTAGAACATTCTCTTCAAATGGGAAATGAAAGAGGACAAGTCACATCAGTATAACCCTTGCTCTTCAATAGATGAGGAAAGGGGGAGGGGGGTTGGTGGGGGGGGGGGGGCAGGAGAAGAGATAAAATGACAGACACAATTACACTTATAAATGTTATCTGAAATGTCATATTATAGTTATATGCCTTTTTCTTAGGATATAAAAAGTGAACAGAATCAACTTCTTCCACTCTTTATTCCTGAATAGAACACAGGCCCTTAACGAACTCATACTAAGTCATTATATCTTACGCTATCGCCACATGCAGCTCATTCCATGTCCACCCCATATTTTTATATTCACTCTCTCGTTCCCTACTCTGCGCATTTTTTTTTAAATGGGGGAGGGGGGGCACTTTATTTCTACGGCCCTGTGGTTTCCAGTGCAAAGCCCTTCTAGTTATGCTGTTCTCAGTTTTCCTCAACGTTTGTCCTATTCAACACCAGTAAAAAGCAACTGCCTGGTATAAATAATTAACCAAAGTGGCTGATGCCCTATAAAACGAGACTTTCTACAAACACCATTAGATAGAAAGTGAGAACATGTTCTTAATATATGGAATCTTTCATCAGCCAAATGAATTACAAATGGCTTGTCTAAAAAAACAAAACAACTTTTGATCCGCCCATTTCACTAAAGGGCTAACGGGAAACTGCACAAAAAGCTGTCGGACAAGAGTCTGACTAAGCTAGATAACTCAAGTTATCAAATCCATTTTTTTTGGGGGGGGGGGGGGGGGGCGCGGAGGTCACCAACAGACATTTAAATCTCCCCGTTTGGTAGCCAGTCTTTGATACCGTTTACCGACCCCTAAGTGATACTGTCTATGCAGATATTGATTGCAGTCTGCAAAACAAACATGTACGTTCCTGTAAAGAAAAAAAATTCAAAACTCGACCATGTTGAACCTGCTGCTTGCCAGCAGGAACATGTACGTTTGATAGTAGCTTTTAAAAGGTCCAAATTACTGGAAAATGCAAGGATTTCTTGCAGCTGTCTTTCACTCCTCACACCTGTATACTAGCAGCAGCTGTTTCCAGTGAAAAGGCACCTGAACTTGTGTGGCTGCGCAACAATGGAAACATCGAGACTGTAATTATGATGGTGTACATTAATCGTATTGTGGCCTCAAAAAGTATCGCGAAATGGCTAAATTCGTCATCGTACCAGGGTAGTTAACAGTGTGTGGTAGGGAGATGGTCACCTCACAGAGGCTAAAGAATAAAGGAACTTAAATTTCAAAGGGTCACCAATTTGAAACGCCGGTTACAGACCTCCTTCTGACATTCGACCCTGGGGGTCTGTAGTAGGAGAGTGGGTGAGGTTTTATTGCAAAGGTGAATGGATAGTAAAAACAAAGAGTCTTGCCTACAACGTCACAACATGCAGCATGAGAATGGAGGTGGAGGCAGTAACGGCAGCTTCTCCATAGCTCAACAACAGCACAGCCCAACATGTGGTGACTACTTAAACAGACTCTCATAGAGCATGCTTCAGAAAATATAAACTGGCGTTCTACGCACACAGTGACTTGCACTGCTTGATAAGACTCAGATCCTCAGTAACATTTGGATTTTCTGTTTACAATATTTGGGTGTGCAGGTTCAGAAGTAGGCTGATAGACTGATGTGGCTCCTCTGAGTGGTGAGCTACTTTATGATAAAGCGAAAGTGAAGATTCTGGGGAATCAAGTGGATAGTGTAACAGAACAGACAAAGTATCTATACACTAGCAGACTAGTTCAGCAAGGGATGGGATGAAGGAACCAACCAACCAAGTTTATTTTCAAAGAGTCACATCTTATATTCGCCGTTTCCAAACACCCATTTTACACACAGAAATG